TTTTTACTATAAGTTAGGAAATTCTGATCGAGATTTTCAAACTTTTTTGCCTATTACTGTTTAACATTAAAATCTGCTCTAGTATGAATTAGCTTTATGAATATCAAATTGTCAGATATTATTATAATGTATACGATTGTAGTTCGTGAAGTTCAATAGTATACAACTTGACGAACCCTTTAAAACTCTATTAACTAAATATTATTGAGTTAAATAATCATTAAGATTGTTATTACTTATTTTTAAATACATTTTCAATTTTAATTAATTTACACAAGTTTAGTTATTTTTTAAGTTCTTTCATTAACTGTACATTTTAATGAATGCCAGTTTTAGTAATTGCAAATTATATTTTTATGTAATAATAATAATACACATGTACAATGCGCATGTATCATGTTGTAGTTGTATGAATTAATCACGAACTATTTATCATTTTAAACACGTTTTGAGTGCAGTGGTTTCATATTTAATGAGTTTGTCTCGTGATTATGTATAATATAATCAAAGGGTTCGTGGTCTCAGTGTTTTCACTGCTGGATCTTATGTATTATTATCTCCATACTTCGTCCTGCACGACAAATATGGTACAATCGTAGCGAATCACCCTGTACATAATAATATATTGTGGGTGTGTATACGCGTGGGCGTGATGGAAGGTAAGAATAGGGGAAAAAAGGTAATTTTACCAGGTTTTTGGGGGGCTTTTAACGGAGAGCGCACAGACTTTTCGATCTACGACAAGAGGGCTGTGTGCGCGGCCGTCATGTCTTTTTCAGTTATATATAATATGTGCCCAATCTTGTATCCTCGGAATATTCATTTTCGGTCATGAGGAACGTTATCCGTACTGTTATTCTTATAATCCAAGTATGTCTTGTGTTATTGTGTGATTCGGTGTATCTGATAATTATATTTATTAAAATTTGTAGTATCCACCCAGCACACCAAAGGTCTTTGAAACATTTATTTTAAATGACCCTTTAAACCATAAATTAGATTTTTAATTAATTTGAAGTATTGGCAATTAGTTTTTGAATGTCGATGATTAAATATTGTTTTACATACATTAGCATTAATGGTTTTAGGTAGTCTTGTAAAAGATACTTTATAAAATTACAAGTGCAGATACTTCTTTTGAAAAGTATTTAAATACTTTTAGCAGTTTTAAAAAACAAGTACTTTTACTTAATAAATCAACTTAACAGTTTTTTTTAACATTTTCTTGTTAATAATATAAAAATAAGAAAATATATGAATTAAAAAGAAAAAGTTTTTGAAAATTATTAATTTATTTAAGATAGGTACAGATACTCCGAGAAAGTATTTAAAATACGTAATTGAGTAGGAACTTAAAAAGTATTTGAATAATTTTACAAAGGTACTTTATAAGAATAGCTTTATATGATATAGGTGAATGTTGAACAAAGTTTGTTTCTAGAGGTACATTTAATTTAAAAAAAATCTCGTCTATATGTGGTTTTTATTTATAGCAAAAATTGTTATACAAACTTATAAAGAACAAATACACGAAAATTAATTTGATTACTATAAATTTATGCATTCAAGTTTTCATTATAAATTTATCAGCTTACGTAAATAACAGATAATTTCAATAATATATTTTATTATTTTATTGCATTCTTCAATAGTCCACTAAAAAAATATTATTTGCGTATGAAATCTATAATTAAATAGTAAATAGGTACACAATCACCAAAGACAATCAATAGATACAAAAATATCCCCCCTACGACAATCATGCAATGATAGTGGGTCTAAGTCGGATTTGTGAATGGTAATTCGTGGCCAAGCTAACACTGGAAATACTGCATGCATTACGTTATAATGATTTAAATGTATTTAATTTATTATATTATTACAACTGTTGTACGTCACCTGTACGGAAATGTGAAATCATGAGATGAAAGAGCCAAGTATGCTTATCACCATATTTCCAAATTTTCGAATTTTTTATACTTCTTAAGGAAAGTCCTGTGGCGATACTAACTTTTATTTTTAAAACGAGAATCCTTTTTTTTCTTTAAGTTATTTAGTGTACAATTTTTTTTTTTTTTTTTTAAATATTGATGTGCCACAAAATTAAAAATTCAAACAATTAGTTTTTTAATTATTACAATTTTTATTTTATAGATAAAAATAGTCCTTAAAAATGGTTTTTCAAAAATATAAAAGTGGTGTAATATTGGATCTATTATACATTAAATATTTAACAAATTATTATAAATGTTTAGTTATAAATGTGGATAGGTCAAGACCATGTTTTCCAAATCCATTATTGTAGAACTCCTTAGAAAACAATGTTAAAATAACTCAACAACTACTGATTTGTAAATATCAGAAGTTTGTATTTCCATTGGACACTCCTTAAGTAGTAGAAAAATAATTTCAAAAATTTTTAAATGTTGTCTAACCATATTTAGAAGTTTCAAAAATAAAATTTTGAATTATTGTATTATTTAAAAAAGGGGATGAATTACTCTGTATGTAGCTGGATTTTGTATACGAGTATATTTATGTGTACCTACAGTTGGGTTGGAAAATATTTGCTCGAAATTGCGTATTAAAACGCAAACATAGATGTCGGATAAACACTTTATTTGTATGTGCATATGATAGTGATTGTATGTAATGTATGTGTACTCATATATCTATAAACGATATATTATTTTTGTTTATACTAGCCATTTGTAAATGTGTAATCCTCTGTGTGTCGCTTCTAAAATGCGCGCATACCTACGTCGTGTGTGTACACTCACGTTTCTCTGAATCGTCTCTGAATGCATCGAGTCACGGCCCTCGAAGTTTGTTTTAAAATCGACCATTTGGTTCAAATATGCAATATACTCATTTAGTATGTTACAATTATTATTTGATTATGATGTTGACGATTAACGTGAATTATCGTGTTTGGATTCACGTCATCACTAGTTATTATTTTCTTCGTAATATTCGTTACGCGTTGTATAAACGCTCGTATATATTTAAATAGTATAGTGGCGGCTTGTTAGACTCACTTTGGGACCAGATATATTCGAGTCCATTAACGGAATGAGTAAATTAAACCATGAAATATTTAAAAATAAAAAAATACACATAGTGTATACAATATACATATAAATATATTTTTTAATAGGTATTATTTCGTAATGATTACAAATTATGTTAAAAAAAAGAATATTTTTAAAAATTTTGGATGTGATAAATCGTAGAAATAGTAATCTTCAAAAAATATATGCTATTCAAATTGGAAAAATAAATTAAAATATTTGAAAATATACGCTTAAAGAAAGTACACAATGATCATATTAACCATTATAATGTTATAGTGAGACAATAAACGGTGACTACTGAATTCTTCTGGTATACTGCTGGGCACAGGTATTCTCTGGTAAAAAATATATAGTGAACACATATTTTGATATAGTTCGTTTGATATTTGCCGCACCCGCGTGTGTGTCGCAATCTACAACGTGTGCAATTGTTTACGTTGACAGCATAATTTATTAAAAAGTCAAAACTCGTGTTTATTTTCTTCTTTCTGTTCAAAAATTAAACGTGTATACAACAATATTATTATATGCGCTTGTATAATATATTAATTGCATAGATTTACATGGCATGCGTATTGTGTGTGTCGTATGCGGCAGAGAGGAAATGTCGTTCACGCCTCTCTCATAACGACCGTGTTCGAGTGTCATATTTTTGTTAAAATAAAAAATAAAAAAATAAAAACACTGCAGTATACCGTTGACTTGAGTTTACACGTCGTTCTGTATAATATATCCTGCGGCGTATTATGCAAATTTCGCACCGCGCCCTGCATATTATATTTACACTGCAATTGTACGCGGCATACCTATATAAAACGTTAAAAATCAATATTTTTATTGAAAGTTTTTTAATGAACGAGCGTGTATTTAAATTTGTAAACGTAATTACTTTATGAGTAAATGTAGTTCTCATTCGATAAAATTGTTTCTTTTTCTGGACGTTTAACATAGGGTGCTGACTGCATAGTAAGTCGGAATCCCGCCGATCCATGTATCTAATAAATATATTGTGTGAATACTTGAATAATCGTAAAATTATACGAATAGTCGAGTAGACCATTTAAATACTATTCTCGTATCTGACAAATATAATATATTATTTTTTTTTTAAGTGTGTTACTTAAACGACAATCTACAGGGAGGCGGCGGATATCGAATACCGAATATTTGCTAAGTACACAAATCGTGGAAATCCGATTGTATGTACAATATTCCCACCTAGCGTAAAAAAAAAAAAACTAAAACATTCGTTAATTATGAATTCAATTTCATTAGCTACTGCTGCGTACGCGTGCACTCGTGTGTGTAACTTAGTTATGATGATTATTAGGTACTCAATGTAAATATACATTTGTAGATCGATAATGTATAAACTATAAACGTAGTAACACTTATGTATCGAGGATAATTGAGTTATTGTAAATGAAACATCAAACTTCCGGACTAAGTATATATATGGTTATCAAATGCCTTGGGGTCGTTCAAAACGTGTAGTGTAGTGCATATGTATATACATATACATACACCATTGCTCTATGTGGGGTCTTGCCCGCCGGGGTGTATGCTGCAGTATGGAGGATGTATAATAAACCTCTCTTAGACGTACGTTCTATACTGCACGTGTACTATATATATATATGTGTGTGTGTGTGTGTGTGTGTGTGTGTGTGTAAACTCGAGCAGTTATTTGATGGAGTTTTACGCATAGTTTAATGGATCGTATATTTTATTAAAAACAAAGGTTTATAAATGATATTTAATGGAAGGGTTGGGTAGCTAATAGCTATATATAAACTGCATAATTTGTAAATTACACAATAAGTCTTCGTATGGTTTGAAATATACACGCTCGGAGTGGGCGTGATGTGTGTACGCAATTAATTCTATTAAGACAGTAATTTAATTTGTAATTTTCGATTTTTTCAGACGGAACTATCTCAAAATCTTCAACAATTGTCCGAAAAAGCTCGAACTACTACAGAGTTCATTCAGAGGTTAAAGCAAATGTCTGAAAAACTTAATGTAAGTCACCAGTTACTTTATTAATACATTATAGATTGTAATATGACGATGTATTACGCAGTCATAGAAAATTATACAAATAATAATTGTGCAGCGTTGTATTCAATATATTGCAGTAATTAGCTGCGATCGAAAACGACGGGAGTGCATATTTTAATAACGTATGACGTGTTTTTATTGTTTGGCGATTTTGATTTTTGTTCTTGTTTTTTTCGGTTTATTATATTTTAATGAAATTTAATTGGAATACAAATATAAATTTGTAGAATCGAGAATAATAAATAATTCTGCTCATTGTTGACGTCACAATTAATTGTTTTTATAATACAATTGATGAACGCGTGTAATATAGTATGTTTAATTATTATTACTATTACTATTACTATTATTACTATTATTATTATTATTACATGTCAGTAATTTGCACACCAACAAACCGACCAAGTATAATATATTTCTGCTGTGTAATTACAAGTGTAAAATGCTCTTTCTTGTATTCTATACGTTCCGCGTTATTCAATGGGTTCAATTAAAGTATATTTGTCGGGGGATAAAAAAATCTGTGTTTAAATTTAACTGTGCTTTTAAAAATCTTCGTTGTGGTGGTAGTGGTCATAAGATACAAAAATGAAATAAAGCCCAAACTAGATGAACGTATATGTAGTCCACGTTCCGTTATGTATACAACGTGTATATATACTCGTATATATATGTATGGTTGAGTACGTGACTTAATATTGCTAGGCACGTATAACATCACTCCTACGTATAAATATATAACATAAGTTGGCTGCAGGTTACAATTTGTCTGAGAGTCCGCAAGTTGTTCAACCGCGGTATACTTCCTTAGTTAGGTTATTATAATAAAGTAGCATTTTAGTGATAGAATGGGCGTGTTTTTGATGCTCGAAATAAAATGAAAAAAAATCTATAACCACCGTTGTCGGGTTTGTGTTTATGCTTGCAGGGTGAGTGCGAAGAACTAGAGCGACAAGTGGACGCCAGGTGTGATGCGCTGATCCGGTCCATCGAGAGGCGGAGACAGTGGCTGATCGACGCGGTGCGACAAGACAAGGAAATCAAACAGCGGTCGTTGAAGGACCACGTAACCAGCTGTACGTGTAAGCTGCAGAAAACCACGTCCCTGTTGCAGTTCTGCATCGAGGCTCTCAAAGAAAACGACCCCGTTTCGTTTTTACAAGTAAGCGATCGCGCGTTTTCGATTTTTTCACGTGCTGTGGGACTATCCATTTTTAAATTTAACATACCCGTCAGTTTTTAAAATTCGATATTCTCCTCCCCTCACAAAATTCTTATAACTACGCAATACGCTGCAATTGTATGGAATTTTCGGAGAGCCTGATTTTCCCTTTAAAGGAGACTTAACTGCTCCCAGTTCCCCAAATTCTATCATGGTGGATTGTGTTACTCGTATAATGAACTCCATCAAATAATATAATATTATGGGGGTCGTACAAACCCACACGTTGCACACACTCTGTATAATATAATATAATCTATATTCAGGTATCAGCTGTCGTTTTCTGTGATAACCCGTATGAACATAATACCCACAGCATTATATTATAATATATATTTATATATATTTAAATACTATGTATGAAAACTTATCGTGTCGTGTTTTTGTTGTTCTCTTCGTTCTGCAGGTCGGATCCATGTTGATAGCCAGAGTTTCGAACACGGACATGACCTGGCACAAGGACGTATTGCCGTCTCCTCGTTCATATCACCAGCTGGATTTGACCCTGGACGATAACACTGTGTTGAAAGCTATTGAGCACATGAATTTTATACAAATGAAAAGTACGTATAATATACACTTACACATACGCGCGTGCGATAACTTAAAACATTGATGTTAACTGTTAATTATAAATCATACACTTTCACACATTTACAGTAACAATATCACATATATGTGTAATTTATCGTGTGCGTTTTATTTAAAATCACCGTGTTTTTTTTTTTTTTTTATCAATAATTCTCGGCTAAAATAACAAATAAATACAATAAAAACATGTTATTTAAGTTAATTAACAATTTTATAGTTGTTCCTTACTTTGTACTTGACTAGGTTTTTTAATCCTAGTAAATAATAAGCCTAATTTAATTTGCCATGATTTATCTGCAAATGGCATACACTATAGATAACAAACTGTTTTTAAACTTAGGTAAATGTGTAAATATTTATTCATTTAAATAAATGTATAAATCAACCAACGCCGACTTTCGTGAACGGGTTTTTTTTAGTTTTGGATTTTTTAATTTATTTTTAAATTAACGTAAAATTACTGCAAAAACCATGTCATATTTTGCATAATATTTTACAGTAAAATAAAACTCGAATTAAAAAAAAAAAGTATATAGAATAGATCGATTTTTATGGATGACTTGCGACATGATGTGTTATAATATCATGCATACAATACATTAAATCAATTATATAATAATTCTAGTAACCTATTATTAAACATATACACACACACACACACACACATGTATATACGCAATCTTGTGAAATGATAATTCAAAAAATGAATATAATTGTTTAAGTATTTAAGATTTTTTTCATTACAGTATTTTAAAATACTTAGAAGTTCAATGAAAAATGTAATTGTTTTTTTTTTTTTGTTATAAATTAAAATTGGTTCTATCACTTTAGTATACACTATAATTTCTAAGTTTAATATGGACCAATTTAAATATTTAATTTTAAAAATGTATTAGATATTAGTTTTACGAGGTTGTTAATGTATTGTATGTGTGCAGTATTTTACACCGCTATATTATTATAATATATACTAAACAAATTAACCATTGTTCTATTGCTGCTTGCACTAATCTTATAAAGCTATCGGGGACGGAGAAGACATGAAGGCAACAGGTATATTCATAATATATAATTTATTTATAATTTATATATATATATATATTGGGTGATCCATTTAACATTCAAAATTTTAAGCGGAATTTTTTATTCAACGTTTCTGTCTTAGTCTAATAAGTGGAACAAAGAAATTTAGACTTATTTTTGCCAAATGTATCAATTAATACAATGAAACCATAAAAATTTTGTAAAGAGGTTTGAATTTCTTGTTAAATCTTCTTGAGATTGACTTTCTTACATTTTTAACTTTTAGATAATGATTTCTTCATGAATTAAATAAAACATGCTGGTTTTTAATTTAAATTTTTTAAGTTTTTAGGGGATAAAATCAAAAATATGGGAAAGCAAATTTTAATTAGACGTAACGAAAAATTCAAATCTGTTTTCAGAATTATAATAGTCTCACTAGATCAATCGATTTGTTTAGCAAAGAATATGTATAAATTCCTATGGTCCTCGTGTGTTAAAAAAGTAAAAAAAAATGTACTGTCTCGAATCCTCTTAAGTCTGATTAAAACATTTTTGGAAAAAAATGATATTTTTACTATTTTTTAAGCGTATAATCTTATGAATTTTAAGTTCTCCTTGTTCTTTTTTTTCTCTTTTCTTATTTGTTAATAATTCATATATTATTACTCATGTTTTAATCTTACTTGTTAACACTTAATTGCTGAAACTAATTTTAAATAACAATGTTTAAATAAGTAAAAAAAAAAAATCTTTTCGAATGATGACTTACGTTCTTAGTTTCATATTCCGAATAAGAATATTATTCAGTGTATTTTAATCTTTAAAAATTAAATGAGCAGAATAGTTGGATCAACATTTGTCTAGGTAGGTACTTCTGTACCACCAATTTGCTTTGTTCATCTATATTTAAAAATGTTGGCATCTCATAAAATTCTATGTTTGTTTATTGAATAAAATATTCTGCTCTATGAAATGTATGTTGTCATTCAAAAGAATATAAAGCTTAAGAATTAGCAAAAATGTATTTGTTTTCCAAAACTATTGTTTGTAACGACTCAAAATCATAAATATTTTCTGAAACAATAACTGTATTTAATGTTAAATGTATCACTCAGTACGTATATAATATCCGTGTCGAAGTAAATATGGTGTATATAATGGTTAATACAGTATACCGTGTACGATTTTACCGAAAATCGTGGTCTTAGTAAGATGTATAAATGCATGCGACGATTTTTTCTTTTGTAATATTTATATATAAGTACATAATAATATGTATAACATATATATATGTACGCTGCTGTTTTGTAGTTACCTTTAGTGTGGTGTTTTCGGCCGTCTTGCCATAAATAATATAATAATATTAGGTTTATTATATTGTATACTTATCGTCGGTATACGTGGTCATCTGAACAATATACGTTTTTTTGTGTTTAGCTCCGAGCGCGGCGCTGATCATCGCCGAAGAGTGCAGCGCTGAGAACAATAGCGTTACGATCGCGTGGCAACCACCAGCTTCTTCGTACGTCGAAGGTTACGTGTTGGAACTGGACGACGGCAACGGTGGAGACTTCAGGGTTTGTACAACAATAATAAAAATAATTCTGTCTTCTAGGCGTATCGATTTTCGCGCAAAATTATGTGTACACAACCTGCCTGTACAATGCACACAGTATCATTAGAAAATTGATTACCCCCGCGACGTCCGCCGACCGATACTTGAGCTTTGCAAATTGAGATTAACGGTCGGTCGTCGTTCTCTATGTTATTGCTGTCAGGCGAGATTATTACGATCTTATACATCGTGTGATCCATTCGTAGGGCTTTAGTTTAATGTTTTACAACCAAATTTTTTATGTTTTTTTTTTTTTTATACTGCCTAAAGTATTTATTATAAACTCCACATGTACTTAAACAATTATTTTACCGTGGTGGTATTCTGTTTTTGACGACAAAATTAAGAATAAAAAAGGTTGTCATAAAAAAAAAAAAAAAAAATTCAATAACTATTAATGTAAAATATTATGTATTTCTTTGTAAAAGTGATTTGTTATAAATTTAAAAATATTTCAGATGATTTATTCAATGAAAAACACTCGCTTTATTAAGATATACAAATGTTTTTGAAAATATTTTTTATTTGACATAAATTAAAACCGTTAAAAAACATACTATTTGCTATATTATCATCTTTTTAAAAATATTTATTTTTTTTTAGTGACAACGTACATTTTTATTTCCTTATACTTAAGTATAATAATTTTTGGAGTATTTAAGTTTATAAAAATCGAATTTTGGATAAGTAGCTTATGATGAATGGAGAGAAACGTTTCACTACAATAATCTATAATTCACATATTTTTAACGAATATAAGCTATAAATTGTTCAAAATTTGATTATTATAAACTAAAATAAACCAAAATATTTTGCCTTGAAATAAGTAAGTATTAAAAATGTCTTTTAAATCTGAAAAATGATCATTTAAAAAATAACAATATAATAATAAGATTTCATTTTTTTTTTTTAGAAAAATAATGTTTTGTAACAACTTAAAAATTTGTAAAAAAATATTTTCAAAACCATTAGTGTCTTTTAAACAATAAGTGTTATTTTAAATAGATTGCTTGTAAAAACATATTTTTTGAATACATAAAAAGCTGACTTAGTAAATTAATGTAACTAGTTATAAAACGTACTACCCCATATATTATGTTCTCGGAGAATAAAAGTTTCATTTTTTCGTCGTAAAACAATATTTTTTTCGAAAATAATGAATTGCCGTTGAAAATATAAAAAAATTGTATACTTTACGACGGAACAGAGTTTCGACTTACGAACTGTGTCTTGTAATAAAAATGAAGTCGTTGGTAGGGATGAGTGGTAGTTGATGTTTTGTGCGTTTAATCCCGGCTGTACATTTTGTTTAAAAGGCGTACTAGAATGTCTGAAAAAAACGTTTATCGTGACGTCTGAACGCAGTATACATTGCATTTTTGTAAACAATGTCACTAGTTGTTGATGGATTTTAAATTACAGAACGACTTCCAATTTCCAATAACAACACGGCGACCCATAAAATGCAAACCATTAGAATTTGTCGTCGGCGCATAGAGATTTTTTGTTGTTGTTGTTTTGAATATCAAATACCGTCGAATTTTAATAACATATATAATATTAATACGTGTTTGGTTCTACGAAATTGTGATGAAAAAATAATAATAATACTTGCAGAGAAAACAATTGATTTTTTTTCATGTCATTTTTTTCTTACAGTAACATGTACATAATTGGTAATACTTTGGGATAGTAATATATTGATTTTTGTTTTTCGTAAAATCACAAATAGTATGATATTGTAAAAAAAAAAAACAAAAAAAGTAGTTGATTATGTATGCACATAACCTTAACGTCGTGACCGGCAGACCAAATATCTATTATTTTGCTTTTATGACTCGTTATTATAGACGTGCAAGTCAATATAAACTCGATGCCATTCATAAATGTACACTAAAAAAACAAAATAACTACAATATATTTTTTTTATTTTATCAAAATTTAAATTTATATAACTTGTGACAAAGACTATATGCTTGCTAAATTGCTTTTTATGAAACCATAAATTGTTTTTAAATATCGATAAAATGTTTATACACAGATATAACGAGCGAGTTTAACTGCATAAAACGAAAGCTGGGTTTGAACGAACCATTATGTTGTTATACTATGTTTTTACGGAGTTGTTTTTCCTACTTTGCATAGCATTGGACAAATCACTTAGGCATATTCTACTACACCTTAAATGATAATTACACCATATTTTCAACTAATAGTAAAAATAATATTTTAATTTATCAATACAACACTCTAATTTAAAATAGTTCTGTGTTATTTAAATTCTTATTTTTTTTTTTTAAACTTGAGAAAAAATTATGACTTACTGTCGTTAAGAGTCTTTATAGATGTAGAGATTAGTATAGGTATATCTATTAAATATTTACGTTTAAGTTTGTAAGACGTAATTCGATATTTTTAGTAATGTTTTAGTCTTCATAAGCTTAGGAAAATAAATTTGTAAATTCTAAATGGACATCTAGTTATTTATACATGAATACTTGGCATATTTTGGAGTTTGGAGACCGTCCTCTGTTATTAATGATCGCAGTAAAATGTTTTTATGAAATAACCATAATCATAACATTTATATCCATCTATAAAAATAAACTTTAGACAATTATAATTTATTACGAGAGAGTATAAATGTATTTCAGGCGTCAATACTTAACATATCTACTTATATTCTTGCAGTGTTTAAGAAATGCAATTAAACATTTTATAATTTGTATTAGTAAATTATTATTTACGTATTATTGAGTCTTTATACCTATTAAATAATAAATAAATGCGTAGAAGGCATGTGATATGTACTTTTATGTTTTAATATCTGTGACATTGACCTTTTCTTCTAAAAACATAATGTTGGAAAAAGATCAAAGTTCTATTAAATTAGTTTAATTCCATTAGACTTATCTTTAAAGATATAAAATAAACACATTGTTAGCTATATTGACATTAAAATATCGTGAAAATATAGTTATTTTTATTTCAGAGAAAATTATAATATTTTAATTTTGTAGGTAACCAACAGTTAATTTTTTTTTTTTTTTTTGAGGTTTTTAAGTTGAAGTAAATTGATCTGGTAACTACGTGCTTTAATAATTATCGTTATAGTAATTATACCAGGACGCACTTATATTATAATGACTAATGACTAATGACCTGGTACATCAGTAATTGATAGTACATAATATATTATATCGTGTAAACAATTTAAAATTGTATTGTTTTCATATTTTATGACTCATCAACCATAAAATATATTTCATATTTTCTATCGTCATTTTTTTTTTTTTTTTTATTTGTTTATATACTTTTCAAATTAAATAGAAAATTTGTAAAAGTTAATATTTAAAAATTTAAATTAATTTAATACTTTACAGAAATAGGTATAATTTTTGTATGCAAATGTACGATTCCTTTTAAACCAATATTTTATTTAATTATTCGATTATTTTATTCCAACATTTAACTTTTGAATAAAAATGTAAGTAAACTTTATATAATTGCGTGTGATATTTTAACTGCTTATGAATATTTATATTGACTTAAAAAAAAAATCAATACATTCTTCGTTTTGCTCAGAAATCAAAAAGAGATATTTGCTAAATATTTACGCTATATAAGTAGACTCGAACCCCGATATTATCTCAATTTTATTTGGTAATTTACTAATTAAACACTTTATATTACTGTATAAATTAAATTATAAACTATGGTCGAATTTAATTCAACATTGGATATTTTTAATTACATTTTTCATTTAGTTTTTTAAAAACTAAATACATTTTATATGAAGACCCTTGTTATATTAAATGTTTTTAAATTTGAGATATTCTACGATATAATACAGTACAAAAATAAAATATCGTATAGTTAATAATAGTACTCTAGGTATACGAGTGTAATGTGTGTATTTTTTCAATTAAAATCAAATTATCATTCGTCTGAAAGCCTCCTTTTGTAATACTCTGTGTTGATGAATTAATTCAACCATATATTTGTTTTTGCGTTTATAGGAGGTATATTGCGGCACGGAAACCATCTGCACCGTTGACGGGTTACACTTCAATTGCACGTACAACGCCCGAGTAAAAGCGTTCAACAGCGCGGGCGAAGGCGAGTACAGCGAAGTAATAGGATTGCAAACTTCTGAAGGTAATATATATAAACCTTTATAGTATATATTATATAAGCAATACAATCAATCTACTGTCAAGAATATATTAATATATATATTATATACAACTTGGATTAAAAGGAATTGCGTCTCTAGACAGGATTTTTTTTTTTTTTATAATTCTTGAAAAAATAAAAAAGTACTATTCGGAAGTAGGCCTCTGTGCCTTGCACAGCAAAATAAGATAGGTTGTGTTTAAATTTTAAAGTGACGTTGAAGCATCGCACTAAAAAAACGATCTTGAACGGTGCTCAGTTTAATACTAAGTTTATTGAATTATACGTGTATAGAATATGTATTTATTAGTGATATTGGTAGTAAATTTTCCTGATACAATTTCATAGCAAAAATCTTTTAATTATCGTTTATGTTTACATTTAATATTGAGAGGGTTAATAACATACAATAGTTAAGTTAGATTTTTAAATATGATATGGATATAGTGAAAGAATGCGATACCAATTATCTTACTATTTAGTACATTTCATAAATTTTCATCACTGAAGAGTGCTTATAAAATAATTTTAATAAGTATTTTATTATTTTTCAATATTTTTTTGAGATTTTCTTAAAATTTATTGATGAAAGTTTCAAAAACAATATCTCAGCTTGTATTATCTGCGTTAGATTTTTAATTTAATTTCGTAAAACTTTGGAAGTTTAGAGACCAAGGAACAATCGTAATTAAAACATGATTAATATACCCTCACTCGCGGGGACATTCTATTAAGACTTGAAAACGCTGTGAAACTTTTTCTAAATTTTACTGACGAACAAAAACGAAATTATTATGCAATCTCCCATACTTTTTCATAGACGGTATTATTGTATTAAGTACAAAAGGAATCGAAACAACTAATATTTAAAAAAAAATTAATTAAATTATATTCATTTTATAAATGACTTTACTTAGAAAAATATTTTAAAATGTTTTTGATTGTTCGGCAGTTTTAAATTATTAATCTATTGTTCGATTTTAATATAAAAATATTATAAGTTCAAAAAGATCTGCGAAATATTGTAAAATCTCTATCTTACACCTCTTGTTATGGATGCAGTTAATAACAATACTTTATTGGCGTTTAGTATTGTTTGTGAAAATTCTTAATACAATAGGTACCTACCTACACTACTGCGTTTATATAATGATTAATGACCGTTTCATTTTTTTTTTCAGTGGCTTGGTTCACGTTTGACCCGTGCTTGAGCTCACCCGAGCTGTGCTTTACACCTGACAACATGACGGTGACTTGCGAAGGATTCGAGCACCGCGTGGCCTTGGGAAGCGTCGGGTTCTCCAGAGGCGTCCATTACTGGGAATTTACAATTGACCGATATGACGCCGATACCGATCCAAGTTTCGGCGTGGCTAGACTTGACGTGTCCAAAGAGGAAATGCTAGGTAGCTAAAAATTATAAATTGTGTTTGAACAACGGGCATACAATTTAGTACAATCTTTGCTAAACTATTTAAATCTGATCGCGCTACGCACATTAATTGACATTTATTGCTCATTTTATACATGTCATTCTATATATTGTATCATTAATATTTTATACTGTACTCATAATAATATGTGTAATTAAATTATGAAAAATACAATTTTGTGTTTTTATGAATATCTAATTATTTATTAGGTATTCGAAAAAAGTTTGTAGTTATAATTACTAAAAAAAAAAAAAATTTTACAATTTATGTATACAAAAACTAAAAAAAACATGAATTAAAGAAATTATTAAATTAGCAGGTTTTTAATTTAATGCAGAACAATTTTAACATTTCAATAATTTCATCTTTGTTTATAAGTTGTATGTGATGTCTTGTTGAAGACAAAACTGACAAAACAAAAGATCCAAAGATATTACTAAATTATTAAAAATTTAAGCTTTTTTAGAAAATGTTTAATTTTGAAAATACTAATTCATACTTGTGTGCACAGAAGTTTAAGACCGTATTGTACTTATGTTAAACAACTATGTTAGTTCAAAATAAATTTAAATGTCTGTCCCACTCGTTACTTTTAAATGCTTATAATAAACCTATATCTTTCCATTTGACTGGACCCTTAATTTTGAAAAATGTCTAAGGGCCCTTGGCAATAATCAGATAATTAGTTTAGCTGGACCAACAGTATGGGACTTGTAAAAATATTGTGTATCTGAATTGAATTTAGATGTAGTACAACATACCAAATGATTACAATACATTTAAAGGGTTCAAGTACAAAATTTAATTTTGTAAATTAATATACTCATATATTTATTTTTGGAATTTTTTTTTTATTGTTGAAGGTTTTTTAATAAATTTTTAATTAAAAGGATAGATAACCAATCATGCATGTACAATGTATATGTTTATATATATATATGATGGGATATGGGATAAGCCTATTGCTTTAGGACTACTTAAGTTTCCCTTACCAATTTTCACTTATAGAACATGTGTATTCGTTTACTCTAATAGTTTAGGGCCAGAGTTGTCTGTTGTTATTGGAATTTCAATTCAATTTTATTTTAGGCAAAGACGAATTTGGTTGGAGCATGTACATCGACAAACAGAGGTCTTGGTTTATGCACTGTCGTAGTCATGAGCAGAGGTGTGAAGGTGGCATCCAGGTGGGATCCACAGTTGGTGTACTCTTAGATCTGAACAAACACCAATTGTCTTTTTTTGTGAATGATGAACCACAAGTAAGAATTGATGTGGAAAATTTGCTTGATTTTTCACTCTTAGACCCTGCACATTAATATCTTATTCATTACAATAATAATTGTTTGTGTTTGTTTGTTTTGGATTAGGGCCCAGTGGCTTTCAATGGTTTGTATGGTGTCTTCTATCCAGCGGTCAGTGTTAACAGAGGTGTTGCTGTTACGCTGCATACAGCCATCGACGCTCCCAGTGACTTAGAAGACTGTTAAGACTTTTTTACTTCTCTATTGTATCTTTTCGAATAAGGTGTCTACTGTACTGCATAATAATATAAAAGTTGACAATTTATGCAGGCATTAGGTCGATAAGATTTTTTTTTTAATCATAAGAGTATTTTTTATTTAAAGTTTCTATCAAAAGTTATACGAATCCAATATTTTATATTTGTATGTATGTCAATGTATATTTATAATTTTTGTGTATTTTTTTCTTTAATTTATCATTATTTCAAGAGTAAACTTAACTTAAACAGGGTGGGAAATTTGTTTTTTGATCACTACAATATACATGTACACTGCATATTTTTCCCTTCCAATTTACTTAAAAGAACTAATGTATTTTTTTAGTTACTCAATAATATTATTGTGATTATAATAATACAATATTATGTACTTTTACTGTTCGGCTGTTTAAATATTTATAGTGTGTTTTGAATGTATGAAAATTGGATAATATGCAAACGAAACAATTATGATTATGACACCGTTATTGTGATTATTTAATTTTACTTATGACTTTTCATTTATGAGTCCTTAATTTAGTTTATATTCATGTATATAAACTAGTAGACATATCAATTAATTTTTTTCTTTTGCATTCTATATTACTAATAGTTGTTTAAGTTATTTAATAGCATAATAATGTATTTATGAAGTAAATATTTTATCTATTTTTGTTTTATTTAAATTATGTACAACAGTTCATTATTCATTAAGTATTCTATTGTCCGTTCAAAGTATTGTTCAAAACTTGTTCAGGTACTAAACAATCCCCCAAAGCTATTTGAAGTGTTATTATTTAGAATGTCTTATTCATGCTATAGTAACTTAAGTAAAACATGTTAGATTAAAATAGGTTTAGTTGTTTTTAATTTTATACATCTAGTCAAATAGATTTAGAATTCATATGATTTTTATCATAAAGACTGATGGATATGCTACAAAAAAAAAAAATAATAATAATAATAATAATAAATAGATTGCGACGTCAATGTTATTATTTTCAATTTTAATGCATCTATAATAGAGGAGAATTATTTTCATTTATGATAACTATCCAACAAACTATGTTATTATTTTTAAATCTCATTTAGTAATTATCAGTGTCCATCGTGTTTTTTTTCAGCTTTCTTCAATTTTTGATCGTTGAAAGAAGCAAACTATATTCTAACATTTAAGGTTCAAGAACAATATTTGATCTTGGCATTTTATGTTATTGTTGAATAAAACATTTTTTAACTCCCAGTCTAAAGTTATTTGTATTAAATTATATATCTTATTGTATTCCCACATTGAAGGATTTTTTTTTTTTTTTATTCAAAAATTCCAATTAATACTATTGAAAAAAAAAATAGTAATAAAAGAAACACACATACATGATATTATGTATTGTTGTATTGTGTCAATTAATTGTATTATAAAACCATTGAATTCATCTGATTGCATCTGTTTATAATAGCTAACTTTGCATACATATGCTGGAATTTACATTATGTACATTTATATACTATAGCGTTTTATGTTTTTATACAATATGTTTATATTAAACTTGTACACGTTTTATGTCAACAATATGCATAATTATTAATTGTTATGTAATATGATTTATTTGTAAATTTGTAATACTTAACATTTAAGTTTGAAAGTGGAAAACAATAATAATTAATATTATTATTGTTTTTGATTTTTATACTCTATTATGATAAATTATATACTGTAAATTACAGAATATATGGTACATTGAGTAATTACGTTATTATTATGTGAATATTACCCATTGCTATCCTTTAATAATTTTAGAACATGGTGGATCATTTTCATTGCCTAGGTATAGTGTGTGAAATGTGTGCTTAACAAATTTGACATGCTCCTTACTCCTTTGCTATTTTTGTGTTGAATCAATGATTAGGACAGCTCTGTTTAACCATTACTAGTCCTATATAATATACATATTATAGTGTTCGATTATAAGTTATAACAAAATACATTTTTAAAAACAAATTAATGTATAAAATATCTTGTAGAAACTAGAAACTACGTTTTAGATTTGTTGCAGTAACAAAAACAATCAACAGTTAATAGTTATATAAAATGTATACAAAAATTCTATGATATGCTAAATAAATTATTTATTTAATCTTTAGAAGATATCATACTCACATGCGTTGTTGCTGTCTTACTAACACATAACGTACCGATCGTTAGGCTCAGCAGTTCCAGTTTTGAATTGTTAGGTACCTTAAGGCTTAAATATTACTAATACTAGAGTGAATTGTCTTATTAAACCTATTAAACTTTTAAGTTAAGAACATTATGTGCCGGATCAGACTAGCGTTTTTTCGGTTGCCGATATTACGCAACCGATCGGTAAACGACCGGACATCTATAATTAACATATAAACCGCGTTTTCGCGTCTAGACTAGCTGTTTCTCCGAACCGTCCGAAATCGGTCTGAAATATCCGTGCGCTGTTGCGGTTTGGTAGCGCCGTTTTTATCGGTCTCCGATAAACCGCTAATCTGATCCAGCACTATAGGTGTTCTCACGGGCTGTAACACGATTGCGCCCAACAAATAAGGACGATTACGCCCGTTTTACCATTTTACCCATAAAAAATGCAACACGATTGCGCTCCGTGAAATATATGTATACACTATTTAAAAATACAGTAAAAATGATAAACTCAAAGTTTAAGTTAAAAGTTCGAGTTAATCAAATTCGACTGTTTTATTGAGTATTTTTACATGTAAAAATGTATAAATTTATTTATTTTTACATGTAGGTACCTAAATGTATTACTATTTAATAGTGTATACTAAATACTAATGTATCAATAAGAAACAATTTTTATCAAAGCCAATAATTTAATTTTGTTGTCAGTTCTAAGCCTGTAAAATTAGGAAAGACTATAATATATTATATAGACGAAAAATTAAAGTAGGTATCGTAGTAACGTATAAAACGTTTTATACGCGCATATTAACCTTGGTTTATATTATTAACTTATCATTATTACTTACTTATCTTTGCTATAATTATCTTAGTTGAATGTTCCAGTACTGCTCAACTATGAAAATTTGTTTTAATGATTCATTAAAATTTTAAAAATCTCATATTTTTGTATATTTGTATTTTATATTACATATTTAATTTGTTCAATGGCATATTTTGATATTTATTGGGCATATTTACATGCATTTTTTAATGTTTTCAAGGTCATAAACAATTTTTAACCTTTTAAAATTAGGAAAGATAATTGTAAAATTTATGATATGTATTAATACAGTCGAATTTGATTAACTCGAACTTTTAAGTTAAACTTTGAGTTTATTATTTTGACTGTATTTTTAAATAGTGTATACCTATATTTCACGGAGCGCAATCGTGTTGCATTTTTTTGTGGGTAAAATGGTAAAACGGCGTAATCGTGCTTATTTGTTGGGCGCAATCGTGTTTCACCGTTCTATCATTGGCTTTTTAAAATATTTTTATATTTAAGCTAATTATTAGCAGCTAATATATTAAAATGTAATTATACCCATATAACTAGCTTAAAAATAAAAACATTGTAAAAATCCAGCGAGAGAACACAGATAATGTTCTTATCTTTAAGTTAGATATTAGATAAATTCATTTTAATATTAAAGATAACAACAAAAACTGTAATCGTTGAAGTTAAGTATTGGTATGAATGGTATATTATGCACTTATGCATCAGTTATCAAGATGTTGTTTAGTTATGACGCCCTCTAAATAAAAAAAATCTTACTGATTTTATCGTAATTTACATTAATTGAATTGACACATATTTTTTTTATATAAATTTAAATTTGATATAGAATCATTTTAGCTATATTTAACAATAAATTATCTCTTTAATATTATTATGAAACAAAACAAGTATTATTTTTTACTGCAAAATCATAAAATAAGACAACAAATTTGTTTATTATATACATTAATATTTAATTTTTAAACATAACTAAACTAAAATACATTGTATTATAACAAAATATTTATTTATCTATATTTTATAGTTATTTGTGCGAAGAGTAAATTTGTTAAAGATAGATCTATTGTCCTAATGTGCAGATAGGAAAAATGATATTATCTCCTTACATTATTTCCCAGTCCGACTGATAATCATGAATAGCTGTACGTGGGAAGATGGATAGGTACCCACCCGCAGCACCAGCCTTGGTGTTGTTTAAAGCAATCAAGTGAACTTGTACTAATCTCTAAAACTAGGACCTAACCTGTTTTAATGTTTCTAAGAAATAGTTCTCTTTTAGATCCATCACTTTCTTTTATGTTCTGTTTTCCGTTACAAATTATCTATATAACTCCCCTCTAAAAATGGTAATGTTTATTAAAAATGCCTCTTAATTGTGCCATCATTTATTCCTGTTAAGTTTTAAGTTATTAATTTTCAAATGTTAATGTTAATTTAAATTGTTAAATTATGACCAATATGATTTTTTTTTTTTTTAAACTGGAAACCGATAGCCGAGGCAACTCTGCTTTTACATTATTTTATCCGAGTTGATACCTACTTGTGTTCCCAAATATTGATTAATGATTTTCTTATAGTTTTTCAATGGACTTACAGCTATTACAATAAACAATAAATAGTCCTATAAGCCGGTTGTTTGTTAAAAAAAAGTTTAACTATTTAAATAATTGTAAGGAAATTAACTTAATAAAATAGATAATTATATAAGTTATATGTTATAATTACATACCTAATTATAATGTATTGTCTCGCGCTTTGACTGTCGAGTATGTAAGATTTGGTGTAAGTGTAAAGGAACATAATATTATGTATATTCTGTAAGTTATTGTATTTTGCATGTAATACATGCAAGCTATTATTATCTATCAAACGTTAAAGTAAAATTTTAAGAAGATTGTGACAATAATGTGTATAACAACAATAATATAATAATTATTTATAATTTTATTTATAAACTTTAGAGGTCTATTTCACGTGTAGTTAAATTCACGCGAATTCGTGAATATTGTTATTAAATTAGCCTACCGGCTACCATGATAATAATAGTAAAATAAATTACTTCAGTAACAATATCTATAAACGTAAGGATATGATATCATGAACTAGGTATACCTAGTAATTAGTAATGTAACTTGATGACAGGTT